CATGTTTGCACAGCTCCTTTGCAGCCTCTGATTGTGACATGGTCTCCCACATGCTGGACTGTAAATTTGCTATAATTTTTTAATTGCAGTATCATCAGCAAACTAGAAGAACATGAATACTTCTTCCCAGCTTTTCAAGCTCTTATTCAAGATTTGCTTTGTGTTTTAGGTAAGTCATTTTCAATAACAGATTGCATTGCTTTGCACAACAGAAATTCCTCAACACAAAATGACTTCAAATGGAAACTCCAGGGTTTTTGTGTACATAGCCTCATTTTTCACAGGCTCTGCTTCCCACCTGTCCCTATCAGCTTTTGCCTCTATCTCCTCTTCCTTCTCACCTCCCACTGTCACTTGCATACCAAGCAAGTACAGCCAACACGCTAGTCATGAAGGTGACTTGCCTAGTGCAGAGCATAGCACCAACATGGGACAGGCAGGGTAGAGCGAGGAGGTGCTCTCCTCTTAGGTGAAGCTTTGGCCATAATCTTAACCATGTTGTTTTGCAGTTCTCCTAGTGTCTCCTGTCACCTGCCGAGGTAATTTAGCATCATTCATAGCTTATTTCTAGTTGTACATTTCTGATCTAAGCTTAGCATGTTTTTAGTCCAGCTTACTGGCTCATTTGGGAGTGTAGGCTATAACCCAGAACTGTTAATGCCCTTGATTTATCATGTGGATGTAATCTAAATCAGTTGTACTGAATTCTTCAATGCCTTCCCACCCAATAACATCTGCTCCCAGAGACGGACAAGTTTACCTCAACTTGCTGAGACAAAACAGGAGAGTCTCACTTCACAGTATCCCCGAAGACTATGGGAAATATCCCCAGAAATCCGGGGAACATGTATGAGTGAGTGCAGCACCAGGACCAATCCAGTAATTCAGGTGTGGCTCTGCAACCAGGCTGCTCACATGTGAACTAAATTAACCCAGGGTCAGTTCTGCAGTAAAGACAGACCCTTAAGCTAGTTACAGGTGAGCCCCTTCCTAGCACATTTTTAGATCACACTCTACTGGTGGAGAACGCCTATTACTATTTACAGTAAGACTTATTATAGAGAATAAATGCTATTGACAAAATTTCATTCAGCTGCAGTCACAGGGTTGCAAGACATAATCCTCACGAACTCTTATAAGTTAGCACTGAAGTTATACCTGGTCGGTCACACAGTCTATTGCAAGAGGGCACAATGTTAGAGCCTCTTGTCAGTTTAGCACAATAAGGACTACAAGGAGTTTATTCTCTAAAACCAATTATTGATCACATTAGTCACATCAAAGCCAGAACTTCTTGGTTCCATATACAACTGTGTCACTGCTGTACTTCTAACTTTATTTCAGAAATCAGTAACCTGGATGATATTTTACCTACGGTGCGGAACCTGAAGCTTCTAGCTAGGTAAAATACCACTCTTAGTAGATCTGACTAATGAATGTGTTAATACTGGATTTACAGGCTCTTCCAACCTGTATTTGACCTTACTGTACAGTTTTAGAATATTTTTTACTAAAATAAATGTTTGCTTAGATGTTACCACTGCTCCTCTTATTTACTTGTTAGTTGTGAAAGCACAAATTTACTGGTGACTAAAAAGAAAAGGAACAGATACAAAACCTAGCATTAATCCACTCCACTTCAGCAAATCCATCTCACGTAAATCCTGATTAAGACACTGCTCCTTCAGCATCTGAATGCCTTCCACATATACTTGCTACAGAGAGCTCTGAAGTACAAGACTTAAACTCAT